TTCAGGTATAGGCATACCCACTAGGGTCGAGTTACACTCACCKGCTCCCTTGTAATCTTACCCCTTCTGCCCTTTTTCTAAGAATAGTGTCCCCCCCAAATAAAAGCTCACTTCTGAATGTGCCCCTGTCTCTCTCTCGTCAACCTCTAGTGACTTTTTCTTGCTCTCCCTTTTGGGGATCTTGAGGCCAAGAGCCAGGGAAAGCCATCCTGAAGCTTGTGTAAAGGTAATTCATGTCTGTTTTACTTTGTCACCCCAAATTCACATGAGTGACCTTAGTTCAGCCGCCCACGTTGAATGGGCTAAGGGAGCCACAGACACAGACCACACCAGCAGAGTTTGTGAGAACGCAGCGCCTGGCCCTTACTGAAGGCATTATATACATGCACTCTCCAAAGGATGCTGTGCAGCATGACCTCCAAGGCTTTGGCTGGCTGGCTGTCGGCTAGCCCTCGAAAGCACTTCTGCCATGGAGGAAACGGGGGAACCAGCTGAGCCACAGGAGCTAGGCAGAGGACAGGGAAGACCAGATAGGGTTGAAGGAGGTCACTGCCAGGCAAGGGTGTAGTGGCAGCAAAGCTCCGGGACCCACAGGCTTTTGTGACCTGTCCACAGTGAGTACACAGTTCAGGTGAGCATAAGGATTCACAGATTCCTCCGGAACCACCTGGCCTGGTCGTCTTCCTCCCTGGGTCCTCCCCAGAGGAGCAGGGAACCAGCATTTGCCGACCGTGTCTAGGCCTTTCTGGATACACAGGTAACCCCAACAGCTATGAGGCAGGTCTGTCACCACCTTATGGACCACAGGACCGAGGGTGGACAGTGCCCTTGATCACAGGACTTGTGAGCAACAGTTAGGCCTGACCCCATTGGGCAGTCACATCCACAGAACAGGATCACCGCCCGCTTGCCAATGCCAAGGACCACTTCACAACAATAAACTCATCTTAGCCTCAATAATCAGCAGAACTTAAGAGGTAAATGCCATGACCATCTCCAATAGAGGAGAAGCCCAACAGAGGGAAGAATCATCAGGTGTCTAGCCAAAGCCACTGGCTGGAGGGGAGCAGAGCCCTGAGCCCCTCAACCATACCCAAGGCTCTATCCCATGCCAAAACACAGTCACTGCTCTGACACTCTCTGACATGCTCAAGGGTTCCTGTAGTCCCACCCCAGGGCTGTCATAGGTGTAGAAAGGGCTCCTTTCTGGGGCTGGGGTTGTGGCTCAGTGGTAGAGTACTTGCCTAGCATGTGTGAGGACTGGATTCTTAGCACTGCATATAAATAAAATAAAGCTTCATCAACAACTAAGAAAAAAAAAAAACGTTTTTATAAAAGGGGGGCCTCTTTTTTTTTTTTTCAAGAGAGAGTGAGAGAGGAGAGAGAGAGAGAGAATTTTTAATATTTATTTTTCAGTTCTCGGCGGACACAACATCTTTGTTGGTATGTGGTGCTGAGGATCGAACCCGGGCCGCACGCATGCCAGGCGAGCGCGCTACCGCTTGAGCCACATCCCCAGCCCCCGGGGGGCCTCTTTTGCACCCTGATGTCCTTAGAAAAGTAAGGCAGTACCTCTCTGGGTTTGCTCCTGGAAAGTGACATTTGTGGTTGCTGTCTTCCAGGCTTAGGAAGCCGATGCCACCTGTCTCAGCTATGGCGACCTAGAACTGTCTGAAACACCTCAATTCAGTATGAAAGACAAGGTGACCCCAAGTGAATGCAAATTCCCACRCCCCCTCTCTGCCAGTGCAGGGCTGCTACTTCCTAGGTACGTAATGAGCCTTGGTGGCTGCAAGGACCTCTCTACCAGGGAACCAGGAGGACCCAGTTGTGCATAGTTCAGACAAAACCAGAGGACTCCATGGGGCTCAGGATCTGTCCAGGAGACTGGGAGGTGGGAGGGGCTCTGACAAGAATCCCAGCCTCAGGGTCCCTGAAGAGTATGAAAAACAAGGTTGGGAGCCCTGAGGCAGGACTGGTGCTATGCATGCTAAGGGTGCCTGGTGATGCTGGTGCCTGCACAGAGCCATCCTCTCAGCAGGTGGGCACTCAGGCCTCTTCAAGTCAGGTGTCCTGAACTCACTGAGATGGTTCAGACCAGCGGGGTATTCGTCAGCAGCCAAGGACCTGAAAACCACAGATGGTGGAGAGCCCCGCACTTGTCATGGATGACCAGAACTCAGTGGAGCTTGGTCAGCCTGAGCCCAGTGAATCTAGGGAGCTCAGGGCTACATTTCCCTCACACTCAACCACAAGCCTTACTGTCCACCCAGGAGGGTGCTGCAGAGCCACAGAGAACATGCTGTAAATAGAGGCATTTCTCTCCTGCCCAGTGGCCCTCCTACGCCCCATGGACCTTTCTGGCAGGACCAGGGACACCATGTTGGGCAGGTGCACCCCCATGTGTAGGATAGCTCGAGAGGGACACACCTCAGGGGCAGGAATTCCAGAGCCCAGTGGATCTCAGAGCACCCGGCACAGAAATGAGAAGACCATCTCTCTGCATAAGAGAACCGAGGCTGAATACGCAGAGGGGTCCGAATGGAAGTGAACTTCACATCCACCTGACATACAACAAAGCCTGTTTCACAGTTGGGAAGGGGTTGTTTTAAATAGTGCAGCAACACACAGGGAAGGGACTGGAAAGAAACCTGGCCGGAAATGCTGCTGGAGAGAATCCACCAGGCCGCCAAGGTGGCCAGCTCTCTGCAGCAAATTTAAACACTCAAAAAGTTAACTGCATAAAACTATGAAGAGCTAGCCTCTACAATACATAAAGCACTCATTCAAATCTAAGGAAACTGACCAAAGTGGCCCCAAACACAGACAAACCTTGAGAGAATGAGTGAACACACAGGTCATGGAAGCAACCGTAGCTCCTAGGCTCCAACCTCAGGCAGTCCTGGCTCACACTGCAGGCCGGGGCACAGGGCAGCTCCCACCAGAACTCCCGCAGCAGTGGGTTAGCAACATAGTCAGGGAACCACGGGGACAGGATGCAGCCCAGAAGCAAAGCCAACAGCTGCCGTCCACTCCAGGAAATGTGCCCTAAGATTCTGTAACAGGAGGAAGCCAAGACAGAAAGGACAGCAGGAGACTCAAACACCTGTCCCCAAGCAATCCTAAAGACCCAAAGCAAGACAGGTGAGACCCCTGGAGATCGACTGACATGCAACCCCACCTGAGGTGCAGTTACAGCTTACAAGAGCTGCCCACAAGCAATAGATGCAGACCTCAAAAACTCACAGGAAAAATCCCAGGAGCTGTGTGTGTACTTACCCAGCAAGAGGTACAGGAGACCAACCTTACATGTGACTGAGTCACACTCCCCGGCTGGGTGCTGAGGCACTCAGTCGCAGGAATGTGGCAGAGCTTTCCCCACCCTTTTTGGGTGCGAGGGTCCGTGTCTCGTGCATGGGTGTGTCTTGCTACAGCCCCATGGGTCGAGCTACGCTCACCTGTTCCTTTGTAATATAACCCCTTGCCCTGTTTAGGATAGAATCTTCCATGGAAGTGCCTTGTGTGTGTCCCCTTCTCTTACTGTGCCCTTGGGTGTGGCCTACCCAGGTGTCAGTCAACCTGCCAACAGTGGACATCATGAAGATAGACTCAGCCCCCTGAAACTGACCCCTTGCCTCATCTGAATAGCTTCTCCTCAATAAAAGGGGTCAGCGCGTGCTTCCGCTCTCTCTCTTTCTGCGGACCCTTAAGGTCAGAGAGGCCGTCACAGCGACCCCAAAGAAAAAGGTATTTGTGTCTCTTGTGTGGTTATTTCGTGCAGCCCAGTTAGCCCAGTTTAACTGGAGTGACCCCTGAGCATTTTAGTCGCGAGAACAGAAACCCGGCAAAGAGGTAAGAAAATTATGTACAAATTCCATGGAGTGCTGGGAGACCACAAAGAATGACTGTCAGGGGCTGGGGCTCAGTGGTAGAGCACTTGGCTAGCACATGTGAGACACTGGGTTCAATTCTCAGCAAGACATTAAAATAAACAAAGGTCCACCAATAACTAACAAAATATTTTAAAAAATGACTGTCAGAGTAGAAAACAAAAATGACAGCTACCTAAACTCTGAAGATTAAAGTGCACAACGGGAGGGTTAAAAAAAAGACCAGGGCAAACAACCCTGCCCAGAGGGGCTGTGTTCCAGTCACATCCACTGCCGGTCTCAGGGCTCTGCTGTCCCAGGGCAGAGAACACCACTTAGGCATCTAAGAAGCTTCTCTCCAGAACACGTGGTAGTGGGTAGACCCAGGCCTAGTGCCTCACCTCCCAAATGTGCACCATCAGGCAAGGCCACTCTCCACCCTGCAAGCCACAGCTCAAAACAGAAGCTTGGGCTAAAAAGGCTGCTTGGTCAGAAACAAAAGACACCAGGAGAATGCAATTAGCAAAATCCAAAATAGGGGGTATGTGACAATAAAAACAGCCTGCTGCCACATGATGAAAACAGCCAAGAGAAACAGTAGAGATGGCGGGAGGCAATGTGCAGCCCACGCCAGCACCTGACTTGCACAAGGAATTTGCGTGAGACGGTCAGGAAGCGGTAGTCAGTATGTGTGCAATATTGAGGAACTACTGCCTATTTACCTAAGTTTATCTTCTTTTAGGAGCCCTTAATGGGCTGGGGATGTGGCTCAAGCGGTAGCGCGCTCGCCTGGCATGCGTGCGGCCCGGGTTCGATCCTCAGCACCACATACAAAGATGTTGTGTCCGCCGAAAACTAAAAAAAAAATAAATGTTAAAAATTCTAAAAAAAAAAAAGAGCCCTTAAGAATAGACTCTAAAGAGCTTAGGAATGAAATGCTATGGAGTCTGGCACCGCTTCAAGATAATTCCATACCTGTCTGCTGCAGGTGGTAATGGCCATGTGTGCTTCCCATCACTGTTCTACTTTAACATTTTCAGACAAATCTTTCAATAGTACAGGTACCATGGGTAACCTACAGGGCACCCAGATCCCTCCCTCCCTCCTGCACTTCCCGGGGCAGCCACGCACCTTTCCTGAGGGAGGCGAGGCTCCTCTGGTCCAGCTCCAGACTCTGCACCAAAGCACTGGGGTCTATCTGGGTCTTGGCAAAGATGTCAGTGTGGATGAACGCCCAGTCCTAGTCCCCCAAAAAGAAAGAAGACATCAGGCTGGCTCCATGGTTTGAGAGGGAAACATGTCCCCACTCTTCTCTGTCAGGGAGGACCTGGGTGTACCTGTCCCCAGAGCAGGCTGTGCCCGGCCACCACTTTGCCTCCATCCACAGGTAGTCTCTGCTCCTGCTACACCTCCCGACTATACTGCAAGGGGCAACCTCAGGGGGCAAAGCCTCACCAAGGAGCCAGCTCCCTCCAGCCCCTCACGGGCTTTCTACCACACTCCTACTTCACAGGAGATTCTGCCCTTCAAGTCACTTCCAGCACGCTGAAGGGGGAGGGATCCATTCCACCTGGCTCCTTCAAGGCCCAAGCTCCATGACCTCTACAGGGACACACCATGACCCCCAGGGAGGATTCCCCTCTTGCAGAAGCTAAGGGCACTGAAGATGATGGCARGTGGAAGAAGAGATGAAACCCAAACAGAAAATGTGGGCCCGGTGCTGTACCATCAGGGATGGGAAGCTGAGGTTGGAGCTCTGTACAGACAGAGCCTGTGGAAACAGTTCTCGGCTTCCTTCAGCCTCCCACATGATCTAGTCACTTCTCACAACTGCCTCTGGCCAACCAAGGGCAGCAGCACTGGGGAGAAGCACTGGAGGTGCAGCTGGATGGCAGAGCACGTGTGCTTAATATCTGGCAGGCCTTGAGCTCAACCCCAGCACATAGGCGCGCGCACACGCACACAGCACTTAGGTTCTGCCTGTGGATCTTTATTTCCTTACCAGCGCTCCCATGTCATGTGTAAGCTCTAAGCAAATCAGAATGCTTTTCTCCTGTCCCTGTGTCTTACATTGCCCCACCCAAAAAGCCCTAAGGTCAATGTTGCCTCCCCACCTGGCAGAGACAGACAGAACAGCCAGCGCCAAGCAGGGGCAGGGCAGGACCACAGCTACCTGCGCTTCTCCCAAGGGTCGGAGGAAGTCGGCAAGGGAGGAGGAGAGGTCAGAGGGCTGCCCAAGAGGGAGAGGCCCCTGGGAGGGGAAGGGCCTGGTGGGTGCCCTCTGGATCACCATATGCCCAGGTCTGTACCCATACTGGGACACTTTCCTAAAGTGCCACTTTGTATCTCATCACTGCACAGCTGCAGAGATTAACACATATTATACTGTCTGGCTGTTCAAGGACAGGTAAATAGTATCAATGTAGAAATTAAAAATCCTGCTTCCCTCTCTACTCCACATTAAAGTTCAATGACTGCATTCTTCATATATCCAAGCTCTATTTGTTGCTTTTTCCTCCAAATATGCCTTTTTTTTTTTTTGCTTTCTGCTGTTTTTGAGACTAGGTCTGTGTGGCACAGGTGGCCTCCTGGGCTCAAGTGACCCGCCCACCTCAGTCTCCCAGTGCCCTGTGCTGTCGTAACCGCTCCTCCCTCTCACTGGGCTCAGTGTCTAACATTTTCAGAAACACTTCCAGGCTCCATGGCCCACTCTGCCGTCACATGTCATGTTCCCGCTTCCTGCTCAACTCACTCATGTGCGTCACTTCCTTCTCCCTGAGGTTAATCTTGTGTCCAGCAGGATTTGACCTGCTGCTAGAATCTCACAGGCCTGGCTAGCACAGGAGGAAAGCCAGAGCCACAGGGGAGATGTGGCCTGGACAGGCCAGTAGGGTGAGAGAGACTCCCCACAGCAACCATCTCWGCACAGGAAACTGTCCCCTCACAGGGCCTCTGGCCAAACCCTCTCCACCCTCACCTCACAGAAACGACCCAGGATCTAGGGCTGGGACCTCGGTGGGAAGGAGGGGCAGGTGCCAGTGTGCCCTCCCCCACCTCCTCTGGTCCCATGCTGCCCAGGCAGGGCAGGCCAGAGAACCAGGCTCCCACCCTGGCCACCCTGGAACAGAAGCTCCACACCAAGCAGGCTGCTCAGTCCTGATCAGCCCCAGCCCAATTCACCAGCAGGCCCAAGAGAGACTAGAAAACACCTTCTACTTCCCTCTAGGAGACAGGGTGTCACCTGAGAGACACTCATGCTGTTCCTGCCCTACTCCTCAAGCCCCATCAGAGACCCTGTCAGGAAGAGGCAGACCATAAGAAGGGAAAGAGACCTTGGTAGGATGAGGAGAGGGCCTCTGGGCTCCCAGAGATCAGCAGCACCAGCTAAACAGAGGGGGCCAAGGTTTAACAGAGGCCAGGGACAGGGACGCCAAGAGCCCTCTGGACACAGCCAAGAGAGGGTCCAGGCTGCAGTCACAGCAGACAGGGGCACTAGAAAGCAGGGGCCCAATGGCAGAGGGACTGGAGCACAGCCTCTGAGAGAGCACCTGCTGACCCAGAGCAGCTACCAGGATGAGCATTCCTGGCCACCAGGCCACCAGAGGCTTCGTGCACACCTAGGCTACACCCTCCTGGCAATCAGCAGAGGGAATTCCCAGGCCACCAGTCCTTGGCCACAGGAGGGTCAAAAATGTAAACATCCTGAGCCGTGACAGCAATCTCCAAGCCATAGATGCAGGGCCCAGGGCAAAACCTCAGCAGGCCAAGAGGGCTGAAGAAGAATCTCTGACACCTGGGGGCTTACACTAAGCCCAAGGGCCTGGCCAAAATACAAAAACAGAAAAAATATCAGAGGCTGCACATGGACAGGGAGAACAGATAGAGCTCCCCGTGTTCAGAGTCAGAACAACAAGCAAAATGACCAAGCAGACGTCATCAAAATGATACACAAAAAAATGATACACCCAATACAGAAAAGCATGATCCAAGCCCCAGAAACTGCGTGAAACACCACCATGTACATCAACATAGATATGACTCAAGTCCTCGAAGGAGAGATGAGACAGGCAGAAAAAATATTCAACCAAATAAGGGTGGAAAACAGAAGCAGGGGTGCACCCCTGTAATCCAGAGACTCTGAAGCTGAGCAGCAGAATGCAAGTTCAAGCCTATCCTGGGCAACTCAGCGAGACACTGTCACAAGATAAAAAATAAAAGGGCTGACAGTGTAGCTCAGTGGTAAAGCATCCCTGGGTTCAATCCCCAGTACTGTCAAGAAAGAAAGCCAGACAGACAGACAGACTGAAAGCCTGCCGAACTGGACTTTGGAAAGAATTAACTTCAATGAACACCAAATAGGATAAATGAACTCCAAAGAGAACAATGCAAAGAGATACACCAAGACACATCACAATCAAAAAGCTTAAAGGCAAAGACAAAGGCAAATAAAAATATGGAAAACAATAAAAGAAAAAAGACACATCTTATACAAAGAAACCCCATAATTCTAACAGCAAACTCCTCGTCAGAAACAACAGAGGCCAGGAAGCCTGGAACCACACATTCCAGTGCTAAAAGATTAAAATGTCAACCAAGAACCTGTCCAGAAAAACTATCCTTCAGAAACACAAGCAAAATGAAGACATCCCTAGATCAACCATGGCTCAGAGAATCTGTTCCTTGTAAGAAGTGCTAAGAAGGCCGGGCACGGTGTGCACACCTGTAATCCCAGTGGCTGGGGAGGCTGAGGCAGGAGGATTGTGAGTTCAAAGCCAGCCTCTGCAAACAACTAAAGCTCTAAGCAACTCAGTGAGACTGTCTCTAAATAAAATACAAAATAGGAGGGATGTGGCTCAGTGGTTGGGTGCCCCTGAGTTCAACCCCCAGTACCCCCACCTTCCCAAAAAAAGAAGTGCTAAGAAGTTTCTGAAGGTGAAAGCAAATGGTAACAGTAATTCAAACCCACAACACCAGGAGCACTGGAAGGCAGGCATGTAAATACAAAGGGTGATTCAGTAACTCACAGTTAGGCTTGTGACACTCACAGACACACCTTCCACAATGATACCATAACGAGGGTGGAAGGAACAGAGCCACCAGAGGAAAGACCATGCCACTGAAATCAGTATAAACCGGAAGCATGTTTCTATGTTGTAAGCCTTAGATCAACCACTAAGAACATCCATGGAAACAGAGAACATCACAGATCAGGAACAAGCATGTCCTGGAGTTTCAGCCAGAGCAATTAAGTAAAAGAAATAAAAGGCATCTGTATTGGAAAGGAAAAAGTAAAACTACCTTCTTATAGATGAGAACAATTTGTACAGAGAAATTCCTTAGTAATCCACAAAAATTATAAACAAGTTCAGTAAGGTTCCAAGATACAAAAGCAATATGCAAAATTCAACTCTATTTCTACACATGAATAATCCAAAAAGGAGAATAAGAAAACAATTAGCAATGACATTCCATGGACCCAACCTCACACCACACATGAAATTAAATTAGACCAAAGACCTAAAATGTTTAACAGTTGAAATATAAATTATAAAGTCATAGATGTGAATCTGTGTCTTGGCTAAAGCAAGTTTCTTAGATATCTGAGACAAAAGCAGAAGCAACAAAGAATAAAGCCTCTGAACTTCTGTGAAAACTAGAAACTTTTGTGCTTCCAAGAATAGACTCAACAAAGGGGAAAAAACAAACAAACAAACAGAGAATTGGAAAAGAAAATGTGCAAACTTATCTAATAGGGATATATTACCCAAAACATACAATGAATTCTTCTTATAACTCAACAACTAAAGGACAAACAATCCAAATTAAAATCAGGTAAAAGACTATAAACAGATGCTTCTCCAAAGTTCCACAAATAGCCAACAAATTCATGAAAACTTCATCACCATTAGCCCTTGGAGAAATCCAAATCAAATGATGACAAGAGACCACTTCACACACAGCAAGTTTCTAACAGTGAAGATACCAAGGGTTAAGGACATGGGGACAGCCAGTGGGGACACGAAATGGGGCAACCACTGAAGTAAACAATCTGGCAATTTTTTGAAAGAGCTAAAGTTACTATATGACCCTGCAATTCCCCTCCATAGGTCCACAGAAATATCTGTACATGAGTGTTCACAGGAGTGTAATTCACAGCAGCTAAAAACTGGAAACCAGAACAGCATAAACTTGCTAATGGACAAAGTGCAGCATGTCTGGGATGCCTGTACGTGGAATATTATTAGTCCTAAAAAGAATAAAGAAATTCACACTACCAAAAGAATGCTTCAAGGATGAACCTCAGGAACACGTAAATGAAAGGAGGTACATGGCCTCAGGAAAAACGAGGCGCTAAGCAACTCAATGAGACCCTGGCTCTAAATAAAAATACGAAAAATAGGGCTGGTGGTGTGGCTCCGTGGTGGAGTTCCCCTGGGTTCAAGCCCCAGTAAACCACTCGCCCCAAAAAAGAAAGAAGCCACACAGTACATTACAGTACTACTTCACATGTATGAGCAGGCGCATCTGGAGAAAGACGCAGGCGGGCGGCGGGGTGACTGAGGGGCCTCAAACGTCTCCAGTAAGGGTCACGTAGGACGGTGCGGTTCAGGGTTAGAACAGTCCTGCCGCTCGGCCGCTCATGACATGTTTTTGMCATCTTGGTCCGGAGGGCTGGAGCTAGGGATGCTCACAACCCAGCCTCGTCCGCAGACCTCTTTTCTTTTAAATTCTGAGACAGGGTCTCACTCAGCTGCTGAAGCTCCGGGGCCARGCTCCGCGGACCTTCTCCTCCCCTCCTGGCACTGACCTGTCCCGGAGCCCACACCCTCCCAGGGACCGCACCTAAGATCTCAGAAAAGGCGCTCCCAGGTCCACACGTGAACCTCAACCCCACAGAGAGCCCGGGGACAGGGCCTTTGGGTCGCCTCCTGGAGAGCCCACTCCCCGGAGGGGGAGATGCGGACGGGCCTGGCAACGCCGGGGCCCGCCCGAGGCGGCGGCCGCGCTCCCCGGAGCCCCGCACGCGCGGCGCCCGTCCGGGACCCTCCTGGGCCGCCTCACCTTTGCCCCCGCGACGCCGGCCGAGGCGGGCGGCARGGTCACCTCCGGGTGCGGGACGGGGGGCGCGGGGCCGGGCGCAGCCTCCCCCTTGGGCCGCACTGCGGCCTGGTGCACACGGGCTCGCAGCCCCCTCACTTTGCCCATCTTGCCCGGGCCGCCGCACACACGGAAGAGCCTCCCGGAAGCCGTCCAGTGGCGCTAGCCGCCGGTCAGAAACGCGCCCCGCATCCACCGGGTTCCGCGCCTGCCTCCCGGAAGCGCCGCCTCTCCCGCGCGCGTGCGCAGTGCTGCCGCCTGCTGGCTGGAAGGCGGCGCTTCCGGGCTGCGCTGGAGCGAGCTGTGGAGGAACTGGCTACAGTTGCAAAGACCCCTGGGGCGATGGAAGGAGCCAAGGCCTCCGGTGCGTGCAGGAGAAGTGGCCTTTCTCTGTGGAAGGACTGGGACAGAGCAGGTGCCTCTGGCCCGGGCCAGGCCGCGATGGTGGAGCAGGTCYTTTTGACTTGGCATTGACCTCTTTGTGTACACTCCTGCATTTAGTCGCTAGAACAGTTCCCTGAAAGTGGATATTACGGTCAGCTTCAAAGGGAACTGTCAGACCGCTGGCGGTGAGCACTGACGGAGCTGCCCGTCCATCAGCAGGCCTCCTGGCCAGGCCTGGCTCTCAGCCAGTTCCCCCGGCCAACTCCATGGGACAAGGGACTCTAAAAATCATTCTTCCTGTCCCAAGCCCTTCCCCTCCTGCCAAAAGCCCCATAAAATTCCAGTCGTGTGGAGCCCCCACGAGGTTTCTCCTCAGACCTGTCCACTTTGTTGGTCTGGTCGAGCTCTGCACGGGAGTGAGTCTCCATAAAGCCTCCTTCGGCGGCCTTTTTTTTCTTTTAAATATTTATTTATTTATTTACTTTTAGTTCTCGGCGGACACAACATCTTTGTTGGTATGTGGTGCTGAGGATCGAACCCGGGCCGCACGCATGCCAGGCGAGCGCGCTACCTTTTAAAAATCTGCCTCCTCTTGGTGGCCGCCTTGCCTGACCTTACAGGAAGGAGGCCAGCACTTTGCCTTCCAGGGCAGTCCGCCCAGTGCGCAGCCCACCCAGTGCGCAGCCCACCCAGCAGGGGTGATGAGAAAAACAGACCACGCCTCAGCTGTACAGCTCCCTTGGACACACAAAGCTGACCTATCTAGAACACAACAACAAAACAGGCCTTGTTTTCGGCCACAAAGCCAGGGGCGGAGTCTAAGCCCAGCCAAGGTGGCAGTGGTGACTGTCCATCAGGGAACAGGGAGCGTGAGGACCGGCCAGACACAAACTCCACAGATGAGTCAAAACCCCTTTATTGAGGACTGAAGTCGTGGTTCACGTGGACCCACTGTCCTGTTGGAAATGAGCCACTGAAGGAAGGAGGGGCTAGGCTTATATAGGTTGGCGAGTGTACCAGTCTGGGCACTCAGGAATGTGGGGTCTGCTTTATAGATCCACGAATGTCAGTTTGAGCACTCAGGAATTTGAGTTTGGGGGTTGGGGCCTGTGGTCAGCATCTGGAGAGGATTTACTTTGGGAACGATTCATGCTTGCCAGAGACTATCTTTCAGGTTTGAAGAGACACCTTCTCCCCACCTGCAGCCAGCACCTGGGGAGGATCTATTCCGGGGTAGATGAAAGCTGTCAATGTTTGGCTTTCTTCTTTGCTCCCTTTTCCCAGGCCTGGCTGTTTGGAGGTTTGTCGTTTTCCGTATCTTTTACATGGGAACTTTCACCTCCTGGCTCCAGAAAGAAAAGGGGACACCAGGACAACCCTGTTGGACCTGCCTCTTCCCCTGAGTGATCCTCAGGTCAAAGTAGCACCTGTGCAGCCCTCAACACCAGCAGGAAAGTGCTGAGGGGTATGGCAGTGGGAGTCTTCCTGCCCCTCACCCCAGTCCTTAGTTCCCTCCAGGTCTCAACTCAGATTATTGGCTTCCTATTTGCTTTCTAGAAACTTCCAAACAAAAAGAACTGTACTGATGACAATAAATTTTTCATTTTCTTTACGTCACATTGATACCACCAGTTATATTGGTGACAAGTTCTGCTTCCTCACGTGAAGTCTGAACATTAGTGAAGCACACCAAGGCAAGCACATGAAGCAGGGTTTATTTAAAAAGGGGCCACATAGACTTCTCCCTGGAGGGAGGAGAGGGGACAGCTGGTGTCCTGGTATCCCAAGAAGTGAGGTATTGTCATGATGGCAAACGGTGGGACTTACACAGTCGAGGGAGAGAAATAAAGAATGTCTACACGCTTCTGCCCTTTTCGATGCTTTATTCACTACATACAATTTCACACTATAGGTTCTTAATCAAGAAAACAACAATCCTTAACTCGGGGCATGGCAATAGACATAATCAATTCACAGCAAACAATTCTGGATTAATTGTGAGCATTGCAAACACACTTCATCATGACAGGCTCGTGACAGACATTCCCTCTGCATGCTAAGCTCAAAATTCTCAAGCCTTAGGCTTAATGTCCAGCAGATGCACATTCACTCAGACCACGGTGACCAGGTCCAGAACCAAGGCAGGCTTTTCCTGGTGTGGAGTGGACGCCCAGTTGAGGAGGGGGTCTTAGGGAGGAGTTTCGGCTCTCACCAAGGTCCAGATGA